GCGGTGGGGATCCCCTTCCGCAGCCTCGGGGCCGACGGCCGCCACCTCCTCGTGCTGCCACACGGTGTCGCTGTCGGGAAACGCAGGGCCTGCGGGGCAGGCCGAGGCTCTGGCCGCCCGGGTGGGGGAGGGGGCACTGCCGGGGCCACAGCGACGGCAGGAGGGACAGAAGGGGCGCTCACCCTCCGGGCGGGGCAGTGCAGAGGCCACGCTGGCAGGCGGACCGGGCAGCGCCGGGGGCCGGGGCACGTGCCCTTCCTGGGTCCTTCCTTCGTAAAACAGATCACAGAACGCCCTGCCTGACGGGGGGGTACGGAGGGAATATACCCCAGGACAGGCTCATTACCGCAGAGGCTGTGCGTTGAACGCTGTGCACGATTAGAGGATTCACTATACATAGTGTGTACACACAGTGTTTTCAGAAGCTCGTGGCTGGCCGCTTGGCTTCTACAAAAGACCTATATGAGTACCTGTTTTTGCTAACTGAAAACAAATCCAAACAGGAGTTCTGATTTTATGGGGAAAAGGGAGGGGAAGGGAAAAGCGCATTCGGCATTGGCTTCACACCGAGCCAGTGCAGACCAGTGCACGCCCCGAGCAGCGGGATGGCGAGCGGCCCCGCCCAGCCCCTTCCCCGGGACCCCTGAGCATCCCGCCGTCGCAGCTCTGAGCTGCGTCTGCAAGTATCTGTGCTTTGTCTCAAGTTATGTTGTGCAGCCGTTAGCAGGACGTGTCCTAAGAGTATCAGAAATGCCCAAGAGACGTGATTTATTAGGTCTGGGAACACTGAAACATTTTTTTTCATATAAATTAATGGTAACTGCTTCTTCGCTTTATGCCATTTCGGTTTAGGGAAATTTTCCTAGGGAACGTTGTACTTTTGGATAGTGGGGAAAATCTGTATTCATTTTTCCTTCGGATTTTAAAGGAAACTGAAATGAAACCTCTTTGTGGGCTCCCAGCAGTATGTGCCCGCCAGGGAGATGGACAGGCCAGCCCAGCCCCATGACCCCCAAGAGTGAGGCCCCTGAGATGCTGGGCCCTGGGGGACCACCCCGTCCGTCCCTCAGTGCCGTGTGGCCCTGGCTCTGCTCTCAGCAGTCCCCGGCCTGCCCCCCTGCCCTGGGGAGCTCACCTATTGGCCCGCCCCAGGCCAGAGCCCCGCCGGGAGCCTGGATCAGGCAGCAGGTGGCGCCAGACGCCCAGCCGTAGTCGGGGGACTCAGGTCCTCCGGCCTGGCCCCGCCCTTCTCCTGTGACCCCCCACCCCCGCCCCGTGCACCCCCTCCAGCCTCAGCTGAGCTCTCTGAGCCGCTCTCTCCTGACATCGGCAGGTGGGATGGGGAAATCGAGGCTTGAGGAGAAGAGCTACCATCCCGGGCCTGTGTCCCCAAAGGTGGGGCCCTTTCCGCCACCTGGTGGGGCATTCCAGCCCTGGACGAGGGGACAAGAATGAACTAGCTGCTCTGACCAGGCTGACAACGCCATCTGGCGTGTTTCAGGACCAAACTGCTTCCATATACCGCTGATGGCCACGCGATGGGGAACCCTGCCCCGCGCCTCCCCTTCTCCCCGAGACACTCAGGCTCACATTCTGGTGGGTTCTGACACCCTTGTCTCTAGGGATAGCCAGGTGGGCAGAGCAGAGACTGGAAGTTGGTTGGCTGGAATGTGAGGAGGGACCCTGGGTAAATCACCTCCTCCAGGAAGCCGTCCCTGATACAGGGCTGGGTCCAGGGCTCCTTGGGGCTCTCCCAGCCCACGAGCCGCCCCCAAACATAGAGCTGACCACAAGGAGCGGCTGCTGCGTGTCCCTGGCTGCTCCCCACCGGGCTGTGAGCTCCCACTGCAGGGCTGGGCACAGTGGAGGTGCCGGGAGGAAAGGTTGGACTCAGGACGTCAGCTTCTACACAGACGACTGCGGTCAGAGGCGGCACCTGAGCTGCGGATGTGCTCAGGAGGGGGCTGTGCGTTCAGAGCCCCGAGAAGCAGGACGGAGCAGGAGGGCTCCAGGTGAGAGCATGCGCAGGCGTGAGCACGGATGGGGCTGTGCCCAGGAGGCCAAGTGTCTGGAGAAAGGGATTAGGACCCGCACGAAGCTCCGAGGGCAGAGGGAGTGGGGGTGCAGAGAGAGCAGGGACAGAAATGATGGTGAGGGGACGCAAGTGGCCAGACTCCACCACTGACTGACCATGGGTGAGGAGGAGGAGGAAGTCAGTGCCCAAGTTTGCCACCCACCCGGCTGCCGGAGGACAATGGGAGAAGGGACGGCCTCTTCTCTGTCTCCAGCCGCAAACTCCTACACAGCCGTCAAGATCCAGCTCAGATGGCCGCTGGTGTTGGAGGGCTTCTGCTCTGGGCTCCCACCGTCCCCAACCCAGGGTGTGGCAGAAGCTCCTCGGAGCAGGCAGGTCGCAGATGGGTGTCGAGCTGGAGAACCCCAGCAGGAGGAGGCCAGGATGCTCGGGATGGAGGCTGGGGCCAAGATGGTGGCTTGGGGACAGTCAAGGTGGGAGGGGCCGGGGCATTAGGAGGAAGGGCCTGCCAGGGCCTCAGGCTGCTGCGCACATGACCGAGCAGTGCCCATCTTAGCCGGCCCCTCTGGGGCCCCTGGCTCGGTCAGGAGCTGCCTCCGGTCCCTGTCGCAGAGTCCCGATCCCAGATCACTATCTGAGGACCGTCCACGTTTGTCTGTTCTGTCGGGCTGGCGCACTGGAGGACTGTGCTGGGGTCCAGTTCGGCGTGCCCTGTGCTGTCGGCAGGAGCCAGCCTGGAGCTGCCTCTCACGGGGGGCCGTGGGCAGACTCGGGGGGCTGGCTCCAGCCGGGGAAGGTGGTCCCTCCTCGGGTCTGCGCCAGGCACCACGGCACAAGGGCAGGGCGTGGACTCAGCCGGGCCAGCGCCTGCCTCCCCAAGGGGAGCGCTCAGTGCTCCGTCAGGCACAGACGGGCCCCTTCTGCTTCCCAGACCCTGCGACTGTGGGGACAGGGATGCGGCGGCCGTCGACGTGAGGCTCGAGGCCTCTGGGAGAAACGTGAGTGAACCCTTAGGAAGGCAGGTGGCCCATGGATGGACACCAGAAATGAGGGGCTACCCCTCAAACCGTCCTGAGGGGCCCGGGCACAGGAGATGGGAACGTCTGGGCTCAGACTGAGCACCTGGTGGTGAGGTGGCCGTGGGGTCCCCGGCCTGTGCCTGGAGCTGCCGACTGGGGTCCACACCACCTGCAAGGAGCTCTATGGGGGTGTCTCCACAGGATGAGGGCTGATGACACGTCTGGGGCCTGGAGTCCAGGACTGCACCCACGGGAAGGGCCCACGGGCCTCTGCGCCTGGGCAAGTGTGGTGACCCCCAGAGCCCGGACACGGCTCCCCAGCCGCGCCCCACACTCCGCACGGCAGATGCGCCCCAACACCACCATCCACGTGCGCACACCCTCCATCACCTGGTCCCGGGGCTTTTGGAGCAACAGGGCAGGACTCCAGGTACACGTCAGAACAGCTTTTATTGAAGTCGAGGTGCGCGCGCCGCGGCCTCCCCCACCCCGGCCCATGGCTCGGGGCCCCCGGAGTCGCCTGCTGGGCGTGGGGCGGCCCTCCCGTGGGGACGTGTCGCTGGGCTCCTCAGGGAAGGCAGTAGGTTGTATAGTTATCTTCCGAGGGGGCAACATCACTGCCCTGAAACCACACAACCTACTACCTCACCCCGCCGGTGCCCGGGGTTGCGGGAGGGTCCACTGTCCCGCCACTGCCCCACGCCCCGGCCCGGCCCCTGCCTGGTGGTGGGTGGCCACGGGAGCCAAGCTGGGAGGCCGGGCAGGCGCGGGGCAGGAGGAACAATGCAGGCAGCACAGCCCGTCCACCTGCACGTCGTGGGTGGGGGGAGCTCATGTCCCCGGGGGGCCGCAGAGCGCCACTCGAGCCCCCCTCACTTCCCGCCTGGAATGGTGAGCGGCGAGGGGGGGGGCAGCCTCAGCCCCTCTCCAGCGGAGGGGCCATCGCTGACCGGAGGCCTGACGCTGAGCTGGGCGGGCCGGTGAGGACGCCGGGGGGCGTGCTGAGGTTCCCCGGGGGTCTCCCTGGGGGCCTGTCCTGCCACCCCAGCCTCGTCCTCTGGGCCCATGCCGCTCCCCCTGGTGCCCACTGCCGGCCACAGGGATGGAGCTGCGGACACAGTCCGGACGCAGGGGGCGGGAGGGCGGGGAGGGGAGGCAGGCGGCAAAAACTGCGCCGCCGGCCCCCGGCTCTCCGTGCAGTGCAGGGGGACGGAAGGGTCAACTGTGAGCCGTCCCCTGCTCCAGATGCTTCACACAGTATCGTCTCCAATCCTCATTTGTCCCCATTTCACAGATGAGGAAAATGAAGCCCAGAGAGGTCAAAGCACCTGCCCAAGATCACACAGCAAGTGGAAGGTAGGCCTGCAGACCTACTGCCTGGCAGCCCCCACCCCACCCCAGCAAGGCTGCTGCCCGTCCCCAGCCTGCCCCTGTCCCCTCCCCAGCCAGGGTCCTGGACGCTGTCCATCGGCGATATTACAGCCACTTCAGGAAAGACAGTAGATTGTATAGTTAACCCATAGCAGGGCAGAGCCCCAAACTATACAACCTACTACCTCACCCCAAAGGGCCGTCAGTCGTGGCGCAGGGACGGACTCCGTGGCTTCCAGAGGCGCCTCCTGGAGGCGGGCCAGGGTGCTGCGGGGAATGGGGGCCGGGGGCTGGGGACGGGCCGGCCAGGCGCTAAGGGCTTGGGGATCCCGGCAGACGGGTGGGCAGGGCCCCCGGGACTACAGACGCCCCAGAGCACCACGCAGAGGGGGAACACAGAAAACCACCAACCCGAGGGAAAGAGAGAGAGGGGAGAGAGACGGAGGGAGGGAGGGGACAGGAGTGGCCATAATGTTCCCAAGGGACATCTGCATGGTGACACTGGGAGGAAGGCCGTCATTTGTTGGAACGCACGTCACACAGGTGCCGCAAGTGACCCCCCCTCGGCCGCCCACCCTCCCCCTCTCCGCTGCCCCAAGACACCTGCTCCCTCCACCCACTGGACAGGCGGGGACGCCCTCCCCATGGGCTCTGGTCAGTCTGGTCTTGCCGTGCAGGGTGACCTGAGCTGTCCCCCCCTCGGGAGAGGCCCCAGGATGCTGTTCTTCCTTTCAGACAAGGAAGCTGGCTCCCCTGGGGAGGGCAGCTGGGGCAGAGCTGGAGGCCCTGGAGGGCTCTGCACTCCGTGCCCGAGGGCACAGTCAGCCTGGATCAGCGTCACCACGGCCACCGCCTTCCTGGGGGCCCCTGAGGCGAGTGCTACGGTCAACCCATCTTAGACGTGAGCACACCAGGGCGCGGAGAGGTAACATCGCCTTCGCAGGGTCACACGGCCGACAGGTGGCAGGGCGGAGGTTAGAACATCCTGCTTTCCGCCTGGGGAATGGTACGAGCGCTCTGAGCTCTCCAACCCCCAGACCGCCTTCTACACCCTCCCCTCCCGCAGGCAGGCTGCCTCCTCTGGGCAGGCCTCAGGCTGGGCTGGGCTGTGCGGTCCTCACATTCCTCGTGAAGCTGAGAGCACTGACCCCGCTCCGCAGTGAGCAAATAGGCTGAGATTAGTGGGCTGGAGGGGGGGGGGTCCCTGGCCCCCTGCCGGGCTTGGGGGGGTTGCTCTTGGGCTCTGCTGGGCTTGGCCTTGCCCTGGCCTGCAGAGGGAGGTCCCACGCGCAGCCCCATATGCAGGGGCAGCTACCACTCCTTGGACGGGGCCTGGGCGTCCTGGAGGCCACCCGACCCTGTGGGGTGACTGGCTGTCGTGAGCCTCCTGTTGCTGGGGAGAAAAGAGGCTAAGGACCTGGCTCCCGGCCCAGGGCCCCCCCTGAATGTCTCAGAGGACTCTGGGGGAGGGGCCCTAAGCACGGCCCCTGGGCTTTAGACTTAGCCGCTGAGACCCCAATGCCCTCAGGCTGTAGGGAACCCCTGATGGTGACTGCTGGCCCCCTGCAGGCCAAGGGCGACACGAGGCAGGGGAGCCCAGCAGGCAGACCTGGCTGCAAAACCAGGCTGGTCTCCTCGCTTGCGTCCCTGGGCACATCTTACGCCCTTGTGGGCCTGGACGTCCTCACGGAGACGTGGGGTCAGTGCGGGAGCTGCCCCTCGGGGCGTCTGGGTAGCACCAGGCCGCCCTTAGCCGGAGCTGGAATCCACGTGTGTGGGACTACGCGGACTCCGACACCCCCTGCCGTCCCCTAGGCCCGGGCTTTAGCTCCTGAGCCTGCAGGGCTAACCCCAGGAGGGTTCTGATTTCAGCCCCAGCCGGGAGGCAGAGACTGCACACTGGGCCAGCCCATGCACTGGGACCCCAGGGGCGGGGCGACAAAGGGAGACACACATCCTGGTCCACCCTGGCTGTCCCCACAAGCACCCCCTCCCGCGGCCTCCAGCCCGGCCTGGGAGAAGCCCACATGACTTGGTTTCCTCCATTTGGCCTTTGTTCCTGCTCAGGCTGGACCCACCTTGCGGCATCTCGGGTGGATGACAGGTGGCCTGGGTGCATTAGGGCTGCATTCGAGGCTGGTTCCCGGCTGGGCAGAGAGAAGGGGCTGCCTCCAGGACTGCTGGCCCCAAAGGGCCCTTGAGGCAAGGTGAGCCCAAGGGCAGCAGGTGCACCGGGCGAAGAGCCCCAGGGACAGGCGAGTCCTTGTGGTGCCGAGCGGGACTGGGCTGAGCGCTCCTCTTCCATCCAGACTCCCTGCAACAGACCACGGCTCCTTCAGGCCACGTCCGGGCACGGGGGAGGCCAGAGAGAACCGTGAAAGGTGACGGGGTCACGAGGGCAGCATGGGCACCGTGGGCCTCAGCTGAGGGAGTATGCTGCAGAGCCACAGGAAGAGGAGCGGTGCGGCTGCCGGGGGGCAGGTACTCCCTGGGCAAAGGTGTGGCGGCGGGACCACTAGATCCCCATCTAAGGGCCCCCACGCCTGATGGCAGGACCTGGAGGTGCACGGGAGGGACACAGCTCTGACCACGTCCCTCCTCGAGCGAGGACAGCAGGAGGGGGAGCAGGGGTGCCGGAGGCCATCCTGCGAGGCACCCGGGTGCGCGCACACACGGAGGCTGGGGCGGCAGGCCTGTGTCCTGTGGGATGACAGGGCGAGAGCTCCCACAGGCTCAGGCTGGGCCGGCCAGCGCGGGGCGGGCGGAGGGGGGGCCCTGCGGGGTGAAGCCCACCCAGGCCCAGAGCCCTGCCCCAACACGCACGTGCTGTGAGGAAGGCCCACCACGGACAGAAGCTTCTTGACCTGTTCGGGATTCAGGAAAAGAGTAACAGGCGTCAGGTTTGGGAGAGAGGCAGCCACGCCAGAGCTCGGACCACTGCTCCGGGCCTCCTCCCCGGACGCCCCCTGCCAGCCCGTGCATCCGCATCCCTGAGCAGCCTCTCGCCAGGGACACACTCCCTGCAACGGCCCGGAGAGGGGCCTCTGTGGCCACCCTGAGCTGGACAATTCTGGCTCAAAGACCACTGAGACCCAGGCCTTATCTCTGAATGGTCAGAGCTACTGACATTCCTGGGCTGGGTGGCGAGCGCCATGTCAGGCTCACACAGACGCCCTGGGGCCTGAAGTCAGTGGGACCCAAGAGGGAGGAGCTGAGGTCCCCGCTTTACAGAGGAGGCTCTGGCCAGGCTGAGGCTCCTGCCCCGTGGCAGGCGAGGCCTGGGATCCTCCCAAGAGCAGACACCCTGAGGAAGGGGCTCCCGAGACCCGCCCTGAGGCCTCAGCCAGGGCTTGCTTGACGGCTCACCATCCCACCTGGCTCTGGCCCATTCCAGCCGGGTGACCGGGCAGGACTGGCATGAGGGAGGGGAGCACACAGATATGAGGACACAGATATGAGACAAGCACACGGCCGGACCGCCGACCACCTGGAGGGCACGGAAGCTGAGCCCGAGAGGCTGCCCTCAGAGCCAGATCCCCCAGGCCCGCAGCTCTGCTTCTTCCCACCCAGTCCCTGCCTAGCCCCGGCTCCCCTAGGCCAGCCTCCCGGAGCAGAAAAATGCCCAGTGCAGGCCGCCTCTGACCCTCCCCGGCCCATCTGTCTTTGTTTGTCCTCTGCTGGGGCGCCCGCCCCCAGCTGTTCTAGCTGCGTGCCCACGAGGGCCCTGTCTCCTGTCCGTGTGGGCCTCTCCGGAAGCCGAGAGAGGCCCCCCAGGGGAATCCCAGCTCTGCCCCAGCTCTGGGGCCAGCTGTCCTCTCGGGGGCCCCAGGCCTCCTGTCTGGAAGAGCCAGCCCTGTGGCAGGTGGCGGGGCAGGGGGGAGAGGTGCCCGGCAGCCGTGATGGCATTCTCCTCTCCCGAGATCTGCTGGGCCTCCCTGCCCCACAGTCCCAGGGGTCACCATGGGCCTCGGCCTGGGGGGACGGCCGGACTCCTGAGACAGACCAGAGGGACCCTTCCCAGTCGGCCCGGATGAGGCCTGGCAGCGGGGGCCGGCAACGCACCATGAAAGGGGCTCCCCGAGCAGGGCTGCTGGGCAGTGAGCAATCGGCGGTCGCCCCACCAGCCGCCAGCTGCCAGCACCAGCCCACCCGGTCCCGCGGCGTCTGCCTGCGGGCAGGGTGCTGGGCAGGGCCGGGTGGGAGGAGCCAGGCCAGCCAGGGACAGGTGTGTGGGAGGCCTTCGTGGGCAGGTGGCCCTTTCAGGGCTGGGCGGATGTCTGGAGCGAGTGAGGCAGACAGACAGTGTCACCCCGCAGTCACCTCGGGCTTGGCTCGGGGCCACCGAGAGCCGGGAACCCCCCCATGGCCACCCGCCCCCCCGCGCCGCCCCGATTAGGTTTCTCCCCATAAAGCGGCCAGTGTTTCTGCTCGGCAAGCCGTGCCAACAATGGAGTCTGGGAAAAAGACGCGGGGGTGGCATCCGGGGGCCCGGGCGGGGGTGGGTCTCCCTGCAAACACGGCCCATCGAGTTAAGGAGATGGCAGTCTGATCGACCTGGGCCGGGGCAGGGGGCCGTGTGCCCACCATGGCCGGGAATTGGGGAGGCCGGCCAGACCCGCACCTCGGCCACGCCACTTCTGGGACACCAAACTCAGCATTCAAGGCAAATATTTTAAAGTAAAATTCTTAAAAATGAATGCAAAAACGTCCATGATATACAAACATCCACCCTGCAGACAGAGCGGACCCGGCTTACTGACTTCTCCTTTTGCCTCAGGCTCTGGCAGCCCAGGGAGTGCACGGCCCAGGGGCCTCACCGCCCCCAACAGCACACCCTGGAGACGGAGCGGCAAAACCGGGTCTGGAATCCAAATTTCCCTGACGCTAGGCTCTTTCCACAGCCCCGCGTCCCTCTGGGCGGCACAAGCCTCGCAGGCGGGGAAGAGGCACCTCCAGACAGGAGCCCCCGCCCCAGCCCCATGGGTCTGCACAGACCCCAGCCCTCCTTCCGTCTCCGGGCGCCGGAGCGTTCTCTTGTTCGCACCCTCCCTGTCCGGCAGCCCCCGCCCCCCATGACGGGCACCTCAGAAGCCTGCGTCCTGCTCCAGCTCCCTGCCTTCCTGTGCCCAGAGACCTGCAGGCGGACACGGTGCAGGCAGCCGGCACTCAGCAGAGGCTGGACGGTCAACGCCACGGACGTGGGAGTTTGGAGGCCCACAAAAGTAACATTTGGCAGCCCTTGGGAAGCCAGGGGGCAGGCGCTGGGCAAGGGGGGGGGCTGGCCGGCTCTGCAGACACACTGCATCCACAGGGACCACTGGCACGGGGAGGAGGGGCCAGCTGGCTCTGAGGTCCACCAGGTCGTGGTTCTGAGCCCCGCTCCGGCTCCAGGCAGTGATGAGCCTTGGGCAAGTCAGCACCTCTGACCTCAGCTGCCCGCTCTGGCTAGTGGGACAAGGATGCCAGGGCCTTCCGGAAGAAGGTCAAGGGGCCTCTGTGCCCGGAGAGAGGGTGTCAGTGGGGAGAGCGGGTCTTCACCACTCCAGGGTTTGCTTGGACTCCAAAGGCAGAAGCAAGGACGCAGAGCCCTCTCTGATCCTGTGGGTGTCTCCAGGCGGTGTTAGTCATTAGGCAACAGTGTTAACCTCAAAGGCGCACATTTGTCTGAAAGGTTCTCCGTTCAACCTACAGTCTGGGTCACAAGGTGAGGAGCAGGAGTAAGGGAGGGGACCGGATGCACACCTATCATTAAAAATGCCCAGCACGAAAGCCCACCCCGCGGCAGCCCCAGCTAGGACAGTCCCCTCCGAGACAGTCATTCTGCTGTGGGGCTCTGTGTCCCCCAAGAGGTACTGGGTCTGGCTTGGCGCGTGGCCACCATCCTGTCCCACAGGCTTTCCCCAGAGGAAGCCAGGGCATGAGTAAACCTCACTTCATGGTGACGGAATGTTCTCTCTGGGAACCGCAAGGAGAGAGCTTCTGGGAAGGGCCTTGGGGCAGCGTCCAGCAACCCTCCCAGCCTGAAGGGCTTGGCTGGGCCACAGGTGTCTGGGGAAGGCCTCATGCAGCTCCCGAGGCCCTACCCTGCCACACACGCGCTGTATCTGGGTGTCTGTCCCTTGACAGTGCGGGACTGACCCTCAGCCACACAGAGAACACAGGTCGGGCCGGGCCCCCAGGTCGGCCTGGCATTACTCCAACGCTGCCTGAGAAACAGCGTCAGCCCCTTTAAAATGCACTCGCCTCAAATACCACGCCCCGCTTCTGTACAAGGACATTTCCATGCAGTTCCTCTAGGAGGTACGCTGCCCTTTGAGGGCCTCATGGCTGGACACTGCGGGCAGGCGCTGATGCCTGGCAGGCTGGCTGCTCCCTTCCACCTGCCGAGGCCGGTGTGGCACGGTGGCCCACAGCGAACGGCCCAGCGCTGGCTCCAGAGACATTGGCGTCTCCTCCATGTGGCTCCCCAGGCCCCACGGCCGAGAATCCCCGGATGCCGAGCAGCCTGCTTCTTGCGTGACCGTGTCCCCCCGTAATGTGCTACCCCTGATCCGCTGCGCACTGTCCGAGCCGTGGGCTTGTTAATGCTGAGCACAGAGCAAGAGGCACAGAAGGAGGCCCCCGACGCCCGGTTGCTCCCAGCTCCGGAAAGATGCTCTTCAGGGTAGCCAAGATCTAGGGGATGTGGGTCCCACAGAAGACAGGACCGTGTAGGGCCTGGGCTGGGCCAGAATGGGCTCAGCCCAGCTTTGTGCGATGAAGAATCTCAGCTGGCTCAGGCGCCATGGGAAGCCCGGCTGCAGAGCGGCACCCTAGTCTTTCGGCACGGACCTCACCTCCTCCAGGAAGCCCCCTGTCCCAGCTTCCTGAGGACAGCCAGGACCTGCGTCCAGACCGGAAACCTGACCGACCACCAGGAGCCCAGGGCCCAGCCCAAGGCCCGGCCAGGGAGCTCAGAGGCTCCCCAGGCAGGTGAGGGTGTGGGATGGTGAGTGGAGAGCTGAGCGTGCTGCTCCTCTCCCCAGCGTGGCCTAGAAAAGACCTGGCCCTGTCATGGCGAGTCTGGGGAGCCCACCCCCACCCACTCGGGCAAGCGTCATTTCTAGAACCGTCCATGCCGGCCCTGTGGCTGCCAAGGACTCCCTCCAGGAGCATGGCTTTAATTATAGCTCTTCTGGGCTCTGCTTCGCAGCATCTCCGTCTGCTCGTCAGGGAAGTCTGGGGGGCGGCGAGGGGGCCGACCAGGCTGGGTGAAGGGCCGGGGTTCCCGGACGGCCTTGCCAAGACGTGAGCTGGTGCCAAGCCCAGGGCAGCCGCGGCCAAGGCCGGGCTGGGGCGGGGGCTGGTGCTGGGCTCCGTCCAGGCCACTCGGGGCAGGCAGGCGGGCAGTGGTCTCCCTCCCTCCTCCCCTGCCGGGCCACCCGCTCGCCTGCCTGCCTCACACACAAAATGGCGGAGGGCTGCAGCGGCCATTTTGTGCAGCCCCAGGAAGACAAAGGCAGCCGGCCGCTGGGGGCAGGAAGGAGGAATGTCCACTCTGGAAGCGTGGCCGCCTGTCCTGTGTGGAGGCCCAGGAGGGCCTGGCCAGAGAGAGGGGGGCAGGCGGTGCCCTCTCTGGAAACTTCTTCCTCCTGCCCGGGCCCCTGGCCTCCCTGAGCTGCCAGAGGTGCCCTCACCCCTTCGAGGGGCTCTGGGTGGTCCTGGGGACGAGCCCTTGCCCGGGGCAGTGGCAAGGATGCCCTCCCGCCTTACAGAGGGGCCGGTCCAGCTCGAGGCGGTGACATGGAGAGGCAGGGGTGAACATACAGGCTCCTGGCCTCCCAGGCCCGGGCTCCTTCTGGACGAAAATCCTCCTCTGCCCCCGACCCTCAAAGGCTGGTCTTTGCTTGCCTGGCGCGGGGTGGCCTCTGACCAGATGGCCCGAGGGCTGCCCTGCATTCCAGGGACATCCCGGCCCACCCCACCCGGGGTCCAGGCTGGCAGCTTCACCCTGCCCACTGCCGGCGGGTACAGGGACAGGCCATGCCAGGGCAGCACAGGGCAACACCAGCAAGACCAGCTCCGTGGATGCGTGGCCGCATCCCCCCCCACGAGCTCCTGCAGCACCTGCCTCATGGGGGCCCCAAGCCGGCCACAGCTCACACCCCGAGGCTCCCGAGCTGCGTCTGTCTGGTGACAGCCCACCCCCTTGTTTGTGGCCCTCTGGGGGCACACGGAGCTGCCCCGGCAAATACCTGCTGGACCGAGAGCCTCTCTGGAGCAGAGCCTGCTAGGCAGCGGGTACACCCCAAGAGCTCGCATCTTTCTGACTCTGCCCTGCCCGTGGGGTCTCCCTATCTTTACCAGGTCTCACGCAGAACCCCAAACGTATGGCAGAGACAAGCAGGACTACTCTGGGGGCCACGGGGCCAGCCCCAGGCCCCCCTCCCTGTCGGCGCAGAGTGAAAACCTAAGACTAGCAGACCGAGGCCCAGGGGCTCGCCGTGCCGTGGCTCTGACTGAGGCCGGCGGGGGGCCCTCAAAGGGCACTGGGACGGGGAGACGTGGCTGACGCAGCGGGGCAGAGCCCGGGCCCTGCGCTCTGATGGGGACGGGCTGATCCAGAGCCAGGGGCCGGGCCTGGGTCAAGAACCAGGGGAGAGGGATTGGGAGGGAAGCCCCATGCCTCTCCTACAGGGGGGTGCTGCCCGCAACCCGGGGTGTGGAGGGCAGGTGCCAAGGTCCCTGTTGCTTGTGCGACCACAGTTGTCCTGACAACCTGCCGAGCGTGAACAAGGTGCTGTCTTCACGGAGGACACGGAGGACCTCTCCCGAGAGCCCCCATTCAAATCCCCATTTGCCCAATGTTGCTGCCAACGGGTGCGCCCCCACTGGGCACATGTGCCCCGTCGGAAACGGGGCAAACGCCAATGCCCCACACCGGCCACACGCCAGGCACCAACCTGAGCCCGTCGCAGCGAGTGCCCCCGTCCGCCCCCATTACAGCCTGATCCGCAGACGAGGAAGGAGCACAGAGAGGCTAAGGTACTTGCCCACACTCACACAGCCAAGACAGGCGTCCCCCTCCTCCCCTGTGTTTTAGGCACGAGTGAACAGAAACCCACAGACGTCTCCATTTACCGAGCCAAGTCACGCCGCTGCTAAGGAGGACCAGACCCCTCTGTACTAGGCGACCCCAGGAAGCCCCATGTCTGAGACACTCACTTTCTCTTCCGCAAGGTGACAACAGAGGTGTTCTGGCTTCCCAGTCCTCCAAGGCCGGCCAGGCTCGGTGGGTATGGTGTTCTTGGAGAAGAGCAGCTCAGACGCAGCCGTGCTGGGGCAGGGACCTCCGGCTGCTGAGCAGAGTGCGAGCCTGTGTTTTCCCACCACAGCTGGCCTGTTGGCCTTCCGGCTCCATAACAACTGGGCAACAAGGCCTCCAACCAGGGGGATGTCTGAGGCCAAGCACCCCACCGAGCCCAGACCGCGGAGCCCGGAGAGCAGCCCCGGGCATTCCCAACTGCACTGGGTCTGGGAGCCGCTTGCTTTCACTCCAGAGGGAAGAACCCTCTAGCTCACCCTGGGCACCACTGCACGGAGGGCCTGAGCTGGAGGCCCTGTCCCCAGCCTCCTGCCCGCAACCCGGGGAGACTGTCTCTTAGGATCCCGTAGCCTGATCCCTCAGCGAGGCCACACGGCCCTGGAATCCAGAAGCGGTTCTACGTCTAAGCCGGCTGGGGCCAGGCCCCTGCTCTGCTGCTGCTGGTTGCTTGGTGGTCTCTGGGGCTGGCCCCTGGACCTCCCCGAGCCTCTGCCTCCCACGGCACCCACCCAGCAGGGCTGTCAGCAACAGCAATGGCTCTTATGGGAGGGGCGTCCAGCTCAGGGCCTGGCACAGTAACGGGACCCGAATCGAAAGTGGCTTTGTCCGATGCAGCTCACAGGGCAGGCTTTCCTTGCAACCCGTCCCCAGAGGGTTTTCTCGTCACATCTCTCCTCACGCTTCAGGGTTAACCACCCCCAGCCAGAGCGCTGCTCAGAACCGAGAAGTAAGCACTGAAGGAAGCCCGTCATTCTGCATTTTGTCAATATTTGTACTGGGACCAGAAGATCAAATGCGAGGTATTTTTAAGGCCCTAATTTCTATCTGGGTAAACAAAGGCTATCTGGACATTTAGCATTAGAATAAATTTCTGCGCCTCCTCGGCCGTGGGCACCAGACACGGGCCGGCCCTGGAGCAGGCAGAGTGGTTCCTCAGCATGGTTCTCCCTGCGGTGTCAGGCCCGTCCGCACCAACTTCTGAAGAACAGGGCAGCCCGTCTGTCCGCAGGAACCCAGGGTGCTGGGGCAGGGCAGGGCCAAGTCCCTTCAGGGAACAAGCCAGCGCTGGGTGCTGAGCAGAGAGGTGCGTGGCTCCTGCCCGTACTGGGTGTGGGGGAGGCACCAGGGGCTCAGTGCGGGGGAAGGCACTAGAGACGGAGGGAGCCTCCCGTGCCCAGACTTCTCCCCATCCTGGGCCAAGTCTGGGCAGACTTCAGGGAGAACAATACCGAGTCAGTTCAAAAACAAATCCCACCAACCGAGTCACTGTCCCCCATAAACCTTTGGCACCTCCCCGCTCAGCATCCTAAAGGCAGCTCTTGGACCACAGGTGAGGCCAGAGTTGAGCTCTTCCCAGCCCCCAGCCTCCACTTCTAGCAGAACAGAATGGAGATGATGAGCCCCACCTTGCTGGTAGTCCTGGGGCTGCAGGAGGGCGTGTGCGCACGCAAGAGGGGAGGCCCTCCCCTCTGGCCCTGAACATGTCCTCACCCCTGCCCCGACGGCTGTATGGTCATCCTGGTGACTCCTCAGGCTCAGGATGAGCATAGAATAAGCACCGACTGCCTGCATTGGCCTGCGTGCATTCCGTCCACTGCACAGTATGGGGGAATATGGGTCCTGCCCTGAGAGAGCCCACTCCCCCAGGCCTGTCCTTCTCCACCCAGGTCATTCCCCACATGTCCTGGGTCTCAGCCGCTGTGCATGGGCCCCACCACCCTGGCCCAGGAGCCCTTCTGGCCTCCCAGGTGGGCTGGCCCTGCCTCCTTGGACCTCCGCCTGTGTTCCTGGGGACCCACCCTTGTGGCTCCCTGCATGTGTCTGTCAGGGCTTGGGGTCGCAGGACCCAGGTACACGTTCTGGTGCCCGAGCCTGCATGAGGAACGTACCTCCGAGGGCGTGGGTTTCATGGGGACCCCGGAGGCTACCACAGCTGCCAGTGGGACGCTGGGGGATTTCACAGTGGATGCCCAGGAAAGCACCTGGACTAGATGGCCTTGGGCAGAGCCCAGCAGGCCCTGGGGACATCTGGGACCAGCTGCACCCTCAGGCCCCGTTTCCCCAGCGACAGCTCCCCACAGCTTCCCGTCGCTCTGCTCTGTGTCTCCTCTCTCCCCGTGCCCTGCCCTGCTTTCTCTCTGCCTCCACTCTGTTCGTCCCCTTCCTCTGTTATCCCCCCTCCAGGTCCCCCTTCCCCTCTGCCCCACGTCCTCTGGGGGCCTCCCCCTCTCCCCACCCATGTTCCACCCCACCACGGGCACCGGCTGGCGCATGCTCTGCGCGCAGACACAAAAGCCCTGGGGGCGGTGTCTGCAGAGTCTTGCGGGCAAGCTGGACCTGTAAACACACAGGCCCCAGATGGCAGAGGGTTCCTGAGCCCAGACACAACAGCCTGGGGTCCTCTCCACATGGACCTGGGAGGCAGGCCTGCCCCTGGCCATGGCAACAGCGGGGGAGGGGGGTGGCGCCTGTCTGGCCCACACGGCCCCGCGGACTCCCCAGGAGGCCAGACTCAGCCAAGTGGGCCCTACAGCCTGCCCTGTGGGCCGGCTCTCAGGGGAGGAGCAGGGTGTGGGCAAGGAGTGTTCTGGGCATGACCGGCTCCCGCCAGGGCCACAGGGTGGCTGGGCTAGGGAGCGGCGGGCCGAGGACCTTCTCACCTGCTGAGCCCCTGAGCTCTGCCCACTCCACAGACACTTCGGACCATCCCCAGCAGCTGGCCCAAGCCCTCCCACCACGGACCCCCGAGACAGATGGCTCCTTGCAGAAGGAGCTTCACTCAACTTCTGTGCGGAAGGGAGCCAGAAAGATGGGCCCGAGTCCAGCTTCCTGGGGCAAGAGACCTGGGCAAGCCCCTGACTTCTGGCAGACCTTGGTCCCTCGGGCACAGAAAGAGGCCAGTGGCAGGTCAGGGCTGAGGCAGGAGCAGACCCAGCTGAGCCCGCCCAGCTCCTCAGTCCTCCACAAGCCGTGTGTGTGCGTGTGTGTGCGTGTCCCACTTCAGACAGGCCCAGACCAGGGTGGTACCTGGGGGGAGGGGGGAGCCCTGACTTTCAAGGTTCAAAACGCGGCACTGACCTGAGGGAGGCAGAGTTGCAGGGGTCACCTGCAGAACGAGGAGGCAGGAAGAAGGCGTGAGTCCTGGAAGGAGAGAGATGCTGTGTAAGTCTCGGGAAGGAGAGCCCAGGTACGCAGGTGTGCGGGCCCCGACCCGCATCTGTACCTCCAGCCCCGGCCCCCCTGCCCTGACAGCCTGGGAGGCCACCTCAAGCACCGCAAGGGCCTTGACACTGCCGCATCAGTGTGACTTTGTGTCCCAAACCCTGGGAATGACTCCCCGATCCTCGGGGGCACCCGTCTCCAGGGGGCAGCGGCCGGGGCAGGTACACCTGCAGGTTCGTGACCCCGGGGCCAGAGAGACGCACGTTCAAAATCGGACTCAGCAAGGCCTGACAGCTTGGCCGGGGCCCCTCGCTGCCTCTCTCCACTGGGGTTTGAAGGGTTGGGGAAAATCAGATGACTCAGTGCGGGAAGGGTTCAGCAGGATGAGAGGAACACAGCTGTGCCGAGCGTCAGGGAGTGCCCACCCCCCACCCTCGCCCAGGGCTTCGGGGCGTCCCGTCAGCACTGCCAATGGTATGCCCCGAACGCCACTTCCTGCAAGGGACAGCCTCTCCTCTTTGCTTTGGCCGCGAGGAGGCTCAGAGCTGAATTTACAAGTCATTACCAGCAACCAGAGACTTCTACGTGATGTGGCTTCTTTTAGGCCTACCTTCGATTCTGCCTTTGCCCTAATTTCCTATTTACTTTTATCTTTCTGCATTGTCTGTGTTGCTCTAAGCTTTAATATCAATATAAACATACGTATTTTTTATGTTTACATTTATTTATTTACACGGCAAGACATATAGGTAACATATAACCCCTTAGTTCCCGCTCTGCCCGTATGATCAGTGGCAGCTGCGTGTGTAGGCTTCATCTTTCCAAGTAGTGGGTTAGGACTCATCCCAAGCCAGACACCCCCCCCCCATTTCTTGGCCAGAAGAGGGTCCCTGTTCTGCTCTTATTGGTACCTGGGGGGGGCGGGGAGTACGTAGGAAGAGGTCTGGACGCCCCTTTTGCAAATGAGAAACAGAATCCCAGGGAGAGGCCATGGCCTCCCCAAGACCACACAGCAGTGAAAGCCACGTAGTTGTGGGACCCAGGGGGTTTGATCTGGGTCTTGGGGCTCAGTCCCCTGCCATGGCGTGGCCATTCCCATGAGCCCTCAGGGTAGTGGCTGCTCCCAGGCCGACTTGGGTATGGAGGCGCTGCCCTGGGACACTGAGAGAGAGCCTCGGGCTCTGGAACAGAACCAGGCCAGACCTCTGGCAGGCCCCCCACAGCACCTGCCGTGGGCAGGTAGGCTCCCTGTCCTGTGGCTGTGCAAACAGACCCAGACCACCACACAGAGCTGCTCGGATCTGGAGGTCGGGGTGGAGACCTCTCCCCACTTGGCTGTCTCCCCAAGGCTGTGAAACTCACCATGGCCACAGCAGGCCTGGGTTCCTGGGGGGCGGAAGCCCTCCTGTCTGCCTCAGAGATGCTGCCGACAAGGCCCCTGGCCACACCAGGCCCCGCTCTGCCTCGACCTACCGTCTCATCTCGCATATTAGCACCAGCACACATAAAACCTGAAATAACGGGTGTAGGGCTCCAGCGAGGAGAGCAGCGAGAAGAGTGCCAGGGTGGCCCAAACACCTGGAGAGCTGTCTGCTCTCAGTGAAGTATAAAGCACTGTGCTTCTTGGGGGCCCACTGTGTGCAAAGACTTGTGTCCGGTCCCCTGGGCCTCTCACGGAAGCCACACGTGCTCTGGGATTCACGGTGCGTCCCCAACACTCCACCAGGAGCCACTCCTGCCCCGGCCTTCTGGATGAGGAGACTGAGGCTCTGAAGAAGCATGTCCAGGAGGGTGGCTCGCAGCTGGGGGGCTGGGCGTGCCCATCACTTGGCACCACGTAGGTAGGTGGCTGTGACTCGGAGCTCGTTCAGCAGAGTCTCTGTGCCAACAACTCAGCCTTCCCAGCCCTCCCTGATTCCATCTGTTTCGAGGAGGCGAATCAGAGTCCTCAGGCCGCAGGGCAGGCCGAGGACTCGGGGAGAGGCAAAGGCCCATGGCAGGCCAGGTAATCCTTGCCCTGCACCTCACTCCTGGTCCTGGAGTGGGACCTCAGCCGCCTGCCAGGGACCAGGCTGAATCCCTCAGGAAGGGTGGGCCTGGCTGCCAGCTGGGGCCTGAGGGGCTGGTGCTGGGCTCTTCTGAAAGACGGGCTCACGTTCCCTTCCTGGCCAGGCCACCCACCTCCCGGGCTGCCTCCCTGCCCTGGCCCAGGGCAAAGACCATCTACCTGGGCTCTGCGGTCCTGGAATGCCTCCCGAAGGCCACGATAGGTCCCGCTTCCTTGGGGGTGCTCTGGGATGAGTCATGTTCTGAAAGACGCAAGGTGACCAAGGAATCAGCTGGGCAGGCCTGGTGGCACATGACCCCGAGAACGGGAGGGGGCTCAGTGTGACCATCCCCTGCCTCTCATTTACCCCACACAACCACCGCAGATGGCAGCCCACAACTCACAGCGGGCAAGGCGCCCAAGTGCCCAGAGGTTACAGACGGCAAGGGAAGCCTTGTCCGACCCCCCGACTCCCAGCCCTGGTCTGGACTCCCACCCCAAACCAAACCCCAACCACTGGCTTCCTTGCGGCCCAGCCATGCATATCTTCCACTCTTGCGGGGATGCCGCCTGAGACAGAGTCTCCCCAGCTCTAGTAGGAGGCTGGGGGTCCCCTGAAATCAGCTCACAGATTCTGGTACTGCCTACCCCCCCAGGGCTGGCAGGTCTGCAGCACAGACCAGCTCCTATGCAGCTGGGGGCACCCTGGCTCAGCACAGCGCCCGGGATGACGGGGAAGTACCCCCGCTCTTGGAACGATGTGTCTATCTGGGACCCAGAAAGTGTAGACCTGACTCTGGTCTTTTCCCAATGAGCCCGTCAGAGGACACCCCAGGACCAACTGAGCAGGAACACTAGGACCTGGGGGGGCCCTGAGAGCACTCGGCCCAGGGTGACTCAGACGGAGGCCAGGCTCTTGCCCCTGCCCCGCCTCCAGCTCAGGCTGGCATCCGGGGTCCAGGCTCCCCCAAAGCAGGGCTGGCTCCCTGTCCGTGAGGACGGAACGGCAGACCCAGGCCCAACTCACCACAGAGAGGAGCCGGGCTGGGCCTCAGCCAGAGCCACTCTGCCTCTGCCCCAGGCTGAGTGTGAGTGGGTGGACAGGATGGCAGGGTTCCAGCTTCCACACCCTCCTCCCCTGCCCTTTCTGAGTATTCCCAGCTTCTGGAACATGCCCACACAAGCTGGGAGGCTCCCACAGGCCCCCCAGTGCAAGAATGAGGCTGCTCTGTCCCCCCAGAAGTGCAACCTTCCCCAGACCCCATCACTGAGCAGGTCCCACCCAGAGCAGGAGCCACTGGGGCCAAGAGTGACCAGTTGCCACTAATTGGCTTGTAGCCCTCCCCCTCAGGCACAGGCCCCTGACAGTGGGGATCATGGGACTCATAAGGCCCTCAGAGGCCGGAGGGGACCTGCTGGTGGGCTTCCCAGGCTGTGCTTGGACTCCCAGCCCTAAAATGTTGGGTGGAACCCCAACACCACCCCTGAAGCTGGGGACCTACAGGAATTTGTGAGCCCGATGCCCTCTGCACGCAGCATGGACTCAGGACCACGAGTCAGCCAACTCTGGGTTCTAATCCTGTTTCCCTATCTCTCCTGGCCTAGAGCCTCTCTTAGCCTTAGTTTCCCTAGCTGCAGGATGGGGCTTCTGGGCCGCAGCACCTCACTGCCCTGTTTTATAGGAGGGGAGCACCCCCGAGATGGGACCGCCCTGAGGCAGCATAGCCCTTGCCTCGCCGGCCAGGATGCCCTCCCTGCCTCTCCTCCCAGCAGGATGGAGCCCCGGCGTGCACCGCTGTTTAAGGACCCCGGGCCCATCTGCCTGCGCCTGTAAGATGGGCAGGTTAGGAAGTCCCTCGAGCTGGGGTATCTCCGATACCCCAACCTGGAGCTGATGAGACAGCGCCCTGGGGCTCGCCTAGGAAAGAACCCCAAAACAGCACAGGGGAGCCAATGGAGCACGCACCCACTCCTCCCTCTGGACCGAGAACACAGCCTGGTTGGGGCTCACAGAGGACCGCTTCCATGGGCAGCACACTGTGGTACCCACAGGCCCGGCAGGCGAGGCCCCCTTTGTGCATAAACAGCCCTGTTCAATATCACTAGTTGATGTCAGCAGAGATCAGGCTTCCGGGGAGCCGGAGGAGGTGAAAACAGGACAAGGCCACCCCGTGCCTGCTCTGGACACAGGGGTGTGGAAATTCTGTCCTGACAGGTGAGCAGAGCTTCAGCTGCGGGAGCAGGCTTGGCTCTGGGATCCTGGCCCAATTCCTGTACGACACAGGAGCCACACGTGGCCGTGGCTGAAAACTCACAAGGACGGCTGCCCAGGGTGGGTGATGTGAAGCCCGGATGCCCCTTCCAACTTCAGAGCAGCACTGACAGAATGCTCTCCCCCGGGACACTCTGCTGCTCCCATATCCTTGCGCCCACTCTCCTGGTGACGGCACAGAACAGCCAGGCTAAGTGTCCACCGGGCACTGGTGCACAGAGGCATTCGCTCTGCCTCGTTCCAGTCGCCGCGTGCTGAGCCACACAACCATCGCGTGGCCTGCCCTCAGAGCCCTTACAGATCCCGTGAGTGCGTCGTCCCCTGTTGGGGCTGCCTGAGCCTCCTGCAGCTGTCCTCCCTCAAGAGGCCAGCCCACATGGTGTGGGGGTGGGAAGGGAGGCCGGGGCCCCTGTCTCAGGGTCACTAATGAACTTGGGCCCCCGAGTCCCAGAGGTCACGAGGCAGGCTGGGGGAAGCACGGGAAGCTGGCCAGACCCACCGCCTCTGCTTGCTGTGCGGCTCCAGGCACAAGACCGCCCTCTCCTGCCTTCCCTCCTGTGATGTGCATCTCATGTGTGCCTGGCCTCCCAGAGCTGTGGTGGGCACTGCCGGTGACAAAAGTCCACGTCCCAAGCGCAGGGCTGGCTCACGATGATGCCTACCACTGCTCTCAGGGCTGGGCCCCCGCTCCCTCTCAGAGTCCGTGCCCCACAGTGTGGTCACTTGGACGACAGGGTCAGCCCGGGCCATCTTGGCAGCTTCCCCGCCCCCACCCCCCATGCAGTTCTGTCCTCTGGAAGGCTTTGGCACAATGAGGCTGGTGTTTCAATGGTCAGAACCAACCCTGGGCCCCGGCAGGATGTCTCAGAGCTCAGTCCCCACCTTGCCCAGGCCCACGAGTAGCCTGGTCTCCGCAACATTCCTGTGCCTATCTGCAGGGTAGTCCAGGGGCCACTGAGGTCCCATTTCAGCTCTGGACAAGCCCCTCCACCGGGGCCTCAGGCTCCCAGTCTGTTACACCGGGACGGTGACACCTACCTCCTCAAATTTACACGCAAGGTTAGAGTTGATACCCGCTGCACACGCAGGCCACATGAGGCTCACTGGACTGCACGCCCACTGCCGCCTCCCTGGGGTACTCTGAGGACGTGTAAGAACCCACCCTGGGCCTTTCTCCTGGAGAAATTCCTCCTCTACCTCTTATCTCACCAGGGACTAAGTCTCCGGGGCCTGGGGTCTGAGTGGACATCGTGGGGCAGGAGCTCGGAGCCCTCAGTAGGAACCCTGATGTTGGCCAAGCTTCAGGACCCAGAGCCATGGGAGCATGGATCCCCAGAGCACTCAGCCTGCCTTGTCTAGACTTCTCTTCGGCATTAAACTTGGCCTTCTCCAAGGTCATGTGTGGGAGAAACATCCTACAAACTGGAAAGAGCCAGTTGCTAATGAATCATGCACAGGGCTCACCCTCGATTTATGTGCAGAAATGCCCTGCGGAGGACCGAGGCCTGGCCCTGGGGTCATGCTGTGTCGGACACCCAAGGCCTCAGGTACCCAAGACGGGTCGGGAGGCATCAGCAGTAGGCCGTGAGCTTGTGGGCAGCCACGTCCTCCAGCCAGAGTGCCAGATGCACAAGCCAGGGGTGCATCCCCAGCTCGGCTGCTTCATTTGGGTCAACACGGCCCCAGCAGGGACTCAAGGAGCCGGGACTTGGGGAGCAGCTGACATGATAGGCACAGGCCAGTTCAAATCCCCAAGGACGCAGCATCCAGTGGCAGGGCCACCAGCCCCGGGCAGGAGCCTGGGCTGCAGAGCCCAGGCTGAAGAGAATCTCCTGGGTTGCGTGGCCTTCAGGACCCTGGCCTCTCTGAGCCCCAGTTTTGTATCAAAAAGCAGCCATTCTCTTCATCTAAAACTAATGATGTAATGTATGGGGATTAACGTAAGAATAAAAAAAAAAATTACTCTAAAAAAAAAAAAAGAAAAGAAGCAGCCATTCTCACCTACTGGACAAAGCTGACATCATGAACACAAAAATGAACACACTCCCACCGGCTTGGCCCGCACACACAGTAGGCGCTCTCGCCAGACAGCGGCCGACGCCATGCAAGTTACCAACTCAGGGCCAGAAAAGCGCGTCACCGGTGGCCAGAGGTGCGTCCGTTCACACACCCGCCTTGAGCCCTACCAGGTCGGGGGGCGTCACAAGGGACGTCCATACCTCTAACAGCAAAGAAACAGGCCCCAGCGCCAGCCTGACAACAGGGCTCCTGGTCTCCATGGACGGACGTCACCTCTAGACATCAGACTCCCAACACCTGGGACGCGAATGGAGACTTCACGGTGGGCCCGGCCCCAAAGTGGCAGCATCACCCCCACCATCGGCCCGGAGGGGCCTCAACGTGCTCCCCACTCTCAGGGGCCCCCTCTGCCCCCCACATCTCCTCTGCTCCTTTTAAAGGGCCCAGACGCGCCCTGGTGACGTGCTGCCCTCAGGGCAACACCCCGCGCCTTCCGCCAACGGCTCTCCTTCTGCGGGGAGAACGTGCAGTGAGGATTTGGGTGGGTCAGGGTCACTCTGGCTGGGTGGCTAGTTTTGTGATTTAAAGGAGTTTCTCCTCCTTCAGCAAGGTCCGGACAAACGGGAAAAGGAGAAAAAGGCAGCCAACAGTCCCGCTCTGCTGAGCCCAGCCCGCGGCAGACTCCCCTCCCAGGTGGGGCTCCCACACGCACCACGGCGGCTGGCCACAGACTTCCGTGGCCCCCACCGGCCGTGTCCGCTGAGCGGCCATGCAATATCCCGTCAGACAGCTTTGTCACAAGTATCTGACCCAGACACCCCACCCCGGACAGCGGCCGGCCGCCTCGTTGCTCTCCTCCGGAGATACATTAGGATGCGCACTTCTGGCTTTATGCATAGCTCTTTCCCCTTTCCCAGGGGAGACCCCGCTCAAAGCCCAGGAGCACTTTCACACACCTGAGGCAGCCGCCCCAAGCTGGTCCCTCGGAACCTTCCGGAGACCCACCAAATGTCGGAGGTGGGGAAATGGAGGCTCAGAGTTGGGGAGGGAGTGGGCCGAGATCACACAGCAGGCCAACGGCAGAGCCGGGGAGGGACCGAGGCCCCTGCCCGCCGGTCAGGCGTGATCGCCCCGAGCACACTTTTCAAAAGGCCTCAGTGGAAGCTGCCTCAGACTTGTCCATCACAAACCCGTGAAGATGAACGACGGGAGAGAAGAGGGGTGTGGTGGGTGCTACAGAGGGGCTGGGCAGCCCACTGCCAGGGGACAGGAAGCAAGAGGGCTTTGGAGTTTGTGAGGACTTGCTGGAGGAGGAGGACCCACATAAGCCACAACATGGTAGCAGGGCCGTGCAGGAAGTTCACGAACGGGAAATGTCTGACCTAAATTAACAGAATGTGCCACTACTCACCAATGACATCGGATGGGCCGAGAGAGTCCACCTTTCACACCCACTGAGCTGAGGGGAAAAGGCCCCAGAGCCTTCCAAGGCACCTCTCACAGCTGGTCTTCCCAACCGAACCCCAGCCCCAAAGCAGCAGCCATGGTTTTCCCGTGGCCTGGAGTTACCTGGCGTCCTCTGTCCGTGGACTGCAGATGCTCAGGGCTCAGGCGTGTCCATCGGGCACTGCCACGCTGTCCCCGATGAGGTGGGCTCACAAGCCCCTCGGGTTAGTCCTAAAAGGGAACATATTGGTGGAGGTAATAAAGTAAGCTCTGTCCCCTTGTTTCTCCGAGCATCGTGGCCAGGTGACGTGGCCAGCCTGGTGGCGCATGCCGCCGCACTGAGTGCAAGGTTCACAGCCTTCCCTTCTTCTGTTTCAGCCTTGGGATTCTGTTTCATTCATTCATGAAATGTTCCCCCAAGAGCCCGCCCTGGGCCAGGCTGGTGATTCTGGCCGGTCCTTCTGGAGATGCTCAGTCTTCCAGGGCAGACACGTGCCGTGAACTGAGCAGTGGGCAGGTGGGGAGCAGGGAGGGCCTCCAGGAGGAGGTGATGCTGGGCTGCAGTCTAGAGAAGTGGGAGGATGGCAACATGCAGGGGGCAGAGCAGGCTGTTGGGAGCCTCTCGAGCCCCAGGAAGGGGAGACTGGACTTCCGCCTGGAGCTGGACGGGAGCCCCACAGGGTGGAGGTCAGGGCAGAGGTTTGCATGGTGGTCACATGTCCCTGGATGGGCGAGACTCGGACATGCTGAGCAGCAGCAGAGCTAGCAGGACTTGGGCACAGTCTGGGTGCGGCAGGGAGGGGGGCCAGTGATGACCCTCAGGTCAGCAGCTGGGGGACAGCCCCCAGGAATTATAGGGGGGCGGGAGGGGACAGCTGTGGTCATAGTGGAGGAAATCCCCTAGCAGGGGCTGCCCACAGTCGGGCCCCAAACGGCGCAGTGTCCAGGCGGCCCACCGCGGCCAGCCACGGCCTCTCTTGCGCCCTGGCCAACGTGGCGAGCCACGTCCTCATTTCGTTTTAGAGCGCACCCCGATCCCAAGCCAGAGAAACGCGCCTCCTTACTTCTGCCTGACGCCATGGCCCCGGCCCCCCCTTCCGTGGCACCAAGAATGAGAAGTGTTGCCTCCACCCTGACCATCAGCATTCTAATGGGCCGGCCAGTCTGGCTGGGGCTCGTCCGTGAAGAATCTGTGCGGGGGGCTCAGCCTCCTGGCTGGCAGCCTGTCAGTGTCCCGCGAAGCTGCCCCAGATAGCAGACGTCAGGGCTCGGCACACAGAGGGGCTCTGTCCCCAGGACACAAAGCAGAGCTCGGGTGCTGGGCGGCGCCCGCTGGCCTCACGGCCTCCCCCACCAGCGGGTCTCTGGGGGCACAGGGGGACCGAGACGGGAGGGGCGGTGGAGACCGGAGGAGCCGGCCTGCCCGCCATAAATCACCACGCCAGGCTTTATAATTATCTGGGCACTTAAGCTCCTCTTTATTCTCTTCCCCCTTTCCCTGGGGAAATTTCCTTCATTTCCTACATTACCCCGGTCTCCCCGCATGTCTAAATCAACCTGGGCCACGTCACCACCTACTCGTCTGAGCCAGCTCCCTCGGCCTACTTTCACTGGGGAGGGTGGGCTGGAAGGCAAGAAGGAGCCATCGCTCAAACCCAAGTTCCTTCCCCGCCCAGGGCAGAAAGCTGAAAATGCCACCGCGCCCGTCCTTTGAGCTGTGGCGGCGAGCATGTCCCCGGTGTCTGGTGTCTGTCGGCTGCCGCTTCCCGCCCCCGGGATCTGTCGGCGAACCCGGGGGGCGGTGGGCTTCCCCGGGGACGCAGGCCCGAGGTTGAGTGGGGTCCCAGATGAAGAAGAGGAAAGGCCACTGCACCGGCTACCCTGGGCTTTTCAGCAGCCGTTCCAGGTGACCTTGACAAACAGCCTTCCCTGGGGCCAGGCTGGGCCAGCGTCACCCCGCCAGAGTCTGGGGCAACCTGGAAGGTGCAGCCTGCTTCGTTCGTGGTGAGGATTCTGCCGTGGGAGCGGTTCTGACGCCACCATCTACCGTTTGTCCAGCCCAACCCCAAATCTCACCTAATTCCCACGTGCCTGCAGGCCTGTTACTCTCCCCATTTCACAGATGAGAACACTGAGGCCCAGGGAGGAAAGCAATCTGCCCGAAGGCCTGCCACTCCCGAGGTTCTGCTCCTTGCATGTAAGCTGGAAAGGGCCCCTGTAGGGCAATGGCAGGGCCCAGCAGAAGGCAGGTCGTGCATGAGCCCTCAAAGGGTCCCCCGTCAT